AGTTCCAGGACAGTTATGGTATTACACAGAGAAACCATGTCTTGAAAAACAAAAACAAACAAACAAAAGAAAGCAGTTGGGAGGCCTCTGAGGCAGGTCTTAGCATGGTTCTGTGGTTCTGCTTTGCTTTTTGACAGGGGTGTGCTCCAAGAAGTGTGCGTGCGTGTGTGTGTGTGTGTACCCATATACATATATACACATATATATACATGTATATATACATATGCACAGTATACACATACACATATATATCTGACTTCACTGTGCTGCCAGCATCACAAAGTACATTCACAGAACGTCACTGGGCGAGATAACCTTAAGGGATCACCGTTTGTGACGGTCCATGAACATCACATCATATTCTGGCTCTATGGTTCTATGTTTAGTCTGTGGGCAAGGAAGAGAGGTGTGTGATTCTGTGTCACTCCCTAGATCTCTGGGGCAGACAGCAACAAAGCTAAAATGCTACAAGATCAGTCTTCAGCAAGCAACCGCTTGTGAGGGGCAGAGGGATGGCAAGGTGTGTGAAACACGCGGTCACCCACGCGGCAGGTTTGTCTATGCCCGCATGGCTGTCTTACATGTGTGGTCAATTTTTAAGTTGAGTTTGTTTTGGGGAACTTTACTCACACGTTTTCTCACGACTTTTCGCTTCCTAATCCCTCGAAGACAGTGCCACGCCTGAGGGGAAGAGACAATCTACATGGCTTGCAGCTTTGCAATTTTGCTGTAAAGCTGGCATGCAGACAACTACAGCAAAAGAGAAATGCAGCTTCCACGCAGAACTGTCCTGCGGCCCTGCTGAGATCAGCGAGGGCTGGTGGTGTGGAGGCTGAGCAGTTCCACGTCCAGAGTTCTACGGCAGAATACTCCGGCTGAGAATGTCTCTGAGAGTCCTACTTCATCTGCCTTTGACACCGCTGCCCTCTCAGCCGTCAGCAATTACTCGACTGTCATAAATCAAAATGGACCCCTTCTTCCTCTTCTCTCTCTCACACAGATGCCCTTCTTTGTACTGAATGACTTGGATCAACAGGAATAGATTGAGAAAGCCTCATGTTTTCCCTCCATAACAGTCCAGAGCCAAAAGGAGTTGATCTTTGTGTATATAAAACCTCTGCATAGGCCATGGTGTTTTGTGCACAAGCAAGGAAGTGATGGAGTCCTCAGGAACGCGGTTCATTATTTAAAACGGGCAATGTGCGATTACTTCCAATGCGCAGTGGGATGTGAAACAAAGGGTCACCCTGCCCTTATGGTGGGTTTTCCATACCCACATGTCTATCTTGGGTGTGCAGTCACTTTTCAAGATAAAAGTCTGAGTCAGGGCCTTTACTTTTGCTTCCTTTACTTTGTGTTTCCTGATGCCCTGTCTCACTTTCTCTTACCTATGCTTTCCCATAGGATGTTTGCCAGAGGGAAGACCAGGCTGTTTTCTGGAACACCAGCACGTTGCCCCCTCTTGAATTAGACACTGAGCTCACCCAGGGCAGCTGTTGTGTCTGATGGCAACCCGGGCTACAGAAGCTTAATGAATGAATGATGGAACCCGAGTTACAGAAACTTAATGAATGAATAATGGAACCTGGGCTACAGAAGCTTAATGAATGAGTGATGGAAACCCAGGCTACAAAAGCTTAATGAATGAATGATGGCAACCCGGGCTACAGAAGCTTAATGAATGAATGATGGAACCCGGGTTACAGAAACTTAATGAATGAATGATTGAACCCGGGCTATAGAAGTTTAATGAATGGATGGTGGCAATCCAGGCTGCAGACGCTTAATGAATGAATACCAATCTCAGAATGATGGTGGAGTGCTTCAGACTGCACTAACTAGCACAGCACAGATAGACTAAATTCATCACTGATGGTAGGGCTGAGTACCCGGGGCCAGCTGCCTAGGCCAGGAACGTGGGTACCATCAGGAAGAGCCGCAGGTGTTCTGTGAGGACAGGAATGTGACAGGAGACTCTCACATTCTCCGTGCCTTCTAGGAGTCACCACTTCCCCCTCTTGCTTCCTTTGGCTAATGTAGGGTTAGAAGGGGGGGGCCTCAAGGGGTCCTGAAGAGTGTCATGTGAGGGTGTGAGAAGTCACCCACAGGAGGAGAAAGCCAGAGGAAAGGAGTGGATTTGGGATGTTTCGGGGCATCCACAGGGTACTGGTCATGCATCTGGCTCCTTGGGTAGCCTAGGCTGGGAATAGCATCCTTAGGCCCAGGACAGGGAAGGAGGAAGAGAGGCACAGCTACCACAGCAAAAGGAAGACTTATAGGTTTTCTTTCTAGCCCCTCCTCTGGGCCATGAGGAGGAGGAGGTTCCCATTCCAGGTAAAGGAGGCCCCAGGTGAGCTGTTGGCCAGGTGCCTGTTATGACACTTAATATTCCCCTGGAAACAGCTCCTTGGAATTTCCCAGGAGCCTTTGGGTAACCATATAGCCCATGGGTGAGGGAGCCAATCTCCCAGAGGAGGCCTGGAAGACTTGAAATTGGAATTACAATACCTCTGCCTGTAATGGAGCAGAGATGTCCTGGACTGTGGATGCTGTGGCTGTAAATGATGATGGGCAGGGGCCAAGAGCCTCCTCTTGGCTTCACAATCAGATCTTCTGGTGAAGACTTTTGGGGACTTTTCTTCAGGAATTCTGGGACTTGGAAGACCCTTAAGCAAAGCCAGCACGGGGCTCTGTGGACAAAGTCTGTGATCAGCTTGATTGTGTTCCCCCAGAGTGCAGTCTCCACCCCTTCCCAGGGCCACTGTGGGTCTAATGTGAAGTGAGCAACACTCCTGTCGCTGTGGCAACCTCTTACCCGGCTCTCAACCCTCTTAGACTTCCCATACCCCATGCCCCTGGCTGCCCCTCTGGGGATGAGAGGCCTAAAAAGCTTTTCCCACCTCCAGCCAGGCACGCTGTGGAAGTGTAAAGAGCAGGCTTCAGGTGGTGAGGGGCTGTGAGCCCCTGGTCTCCCTTAGACCGGTGGCTAGGGGTGGGGTTGGGGCGTGGAGAGGAGCGGGATCACTCATAGCCGCTGAAACCAGGGTGGATAGGGATGAACAGAGGCACCACAGCATCCAGCTAAAGCCAAAGGTTGGCACCGCTGCCCCTCCCATGGCTCAAACCATCGCTCAGAAGGGAATCCCGGAGCTGGAGTGAGGGAATCAAACAGCAAGAGTGTTGCAGGTGTACGGCCATCCACTAACCCCACTGATGGCAGCCACAGAGGGGTAGCAAAGGTGGGGAGGTGGCACATGGAGGCTAGCTGCTGCCAGTCTGCGCCATCACCCTGCCCAGCTCAGCGTCACAAGGCGCCACATCTTTCCAGACCTTTAGCAGACTTTCAGGGAGGTGCTAGCACCTGCTGAAGACAGGAGGCCAAAGAAGATGGCAGTGAATTCTCTGTACCTCCAGCTCCGCTCTGCAGCTGCAGGCCCCTTGAGAGCACCTTCCCTCTAGGGCACCCTGCTGGACAGTCCCAGCTCCTTCCAGCCCCGGGCAAAGCTGTGCATCCTACTGTCACCCGAGTCCCACGGGTTTTGAGTGGCTGACCCTCAGGTCATACCTTGAAAAGCAAGGGTTAAGGGTGCTCTGTGTGCCCTTGTACAGTGTGGGGGGTACTGCTTTACACAGAGGGAGGGTCACAGAAAGAAACAAAACAGGCCTTCTGTGGCCCCGGGAGAGAGGGGACCTGATCCAGTGACATCTCTGATGAGTGCTGCAGAGGCTGTGCAGATGATTGTGAATGTCCCAGGTCCTCGGGAGGGCTTCCTTGATGAGGTTGACAAGGTCTGTTTGAGCTGGAATCCAGAGCAGGGGACAGGCAAGGTTTGGGGAGCTGCATGTGAACAGAGGCTGGTGGCCAGAACTGTATGCTTTTGGCAGCTATCAAGGATGCAGGTCCAGTGGCTGCAGGTCTTCTCTGCCCGTGACCGCCACTTTCTGTGTGGTCAGGCCTCCCCAGCTCTTTGCCAGGTCCTGAAGCTAACTTTCAGCAAAGTCCCTGGAAAGGTACTGGAAGCTGGTGCTCTCAGACACTTCCTTACTCCTCTGGATCTGACTGTCTAGTACCTGAACTTGGCTGCTTCCTACTCCCAGATAAAACTGCTGTGGAACATCATCAGAAAGGGACAGTAGGAAGAAGTAGGTCCCTGACCCTGTCCTTGGCTCCATGGTGTCACAGAAGCCTGCCCCATGCCCCCAGATATGAGAAGGAGACAGACCTGATGAGCCTTGGTGTTTTAGTTTCTCCAATTATGTGTGTGTGTGTGTGTGTGTGTGTGTGTGTGTGTGTGTGTGAATGCAGGTACCGGAGGAGGCCAGAAGAGGGCACCAGAGGCTGGGGCTAGAGGCTTGGGTGCTTGGCTCCGAACTTGTGTCCTCTGAAAGAACCAGCATGTGCTCTTAACCCCTGAGCCATCTCTCCAGCCCCCAAACTATGGGTTTTTTTTGTTTTTTTGTTTGTTTGTTTGTTTGTTTGTTTTTTAAAGACAAGGTCTCAATCTTCTGCCCAGGTTGGTCTCAAACTAATTAATTCAAGTGATCCCTGTGTCTCAGCCTCTCGTGTCATGAAGACTACAGGTACACAGCCCTGCACCTCCCTAAATATCACTTTTTGTCCCTGATAAGATGACATTAGAGAATCTTTCTCCATGCAGGGAGTATGAAGATGCCATAGACTTACATAGGTTTTCTTCCCCAGTGAAGAAAACCACCATGACCCCCAGAACAAACAGGACCATTCTTGATGAGTTCTAGGAAGAAAGGGAGTGCAAAGGACAAAGCCTCCTGCCCAGTGTCCAGGGACTGAGCCTGCCAGTGTCCCTTAAGCATGCACACGCACATATACACACATGGTCATGTCACCACCATCAGAGCCTTGCGGGACTTATCAGGGACCCACTTCTGAGACTACCAGAAGCAGGGAGTCACTGAGCATGCGTAGTCACCTCCCTACCCAGGACTGCTATTTAAAAGTGTGGGGGGATCCTGCTGCTGCACACTCACTCCCTTGCGCTTCATCGGACATTGAGCAGTCGATAGCCAGAGAGCAGCTCCAAGCTGTACCTACGTCACCCGGCATGAGAACAGGCAGCCACTGGACCAGGTTTCAGTGCTGAGGATGGAGTAGAGCTGGAACTCTGGGGACCAGTCCTGGAGCCATCTATGCCCTTAACTTCTCTGAGAGTCTTACCATGGACTCTCCTTCAGGGCCCAGAGTCCCACCAGGCTTAACACAGGATCCCAGCCTTACAGCCAGCACTGTCCTGCACAGCCATTGGAACAGCACTCAGATGGTCTCCACAAGAGCCCAGCTTCCATCTGTGAGTCCCACGGTGAGTTCAGGGAGCGTGTGTGTGTGTGTGTGTGTGTGTGTGTGTGTGTGTGTGTGTGTGCAGAGACGAGTTCCCAGCCCTTCCTCCTACCCCCACTTTGACAGGAGATAGAAAAAAATCTGAGCTTAGATTAAAGACCTGGGGTATCACTGAACTTCTCTGAGCTTTCCCTTACAAATTGGCTAAGAAAAGAGGGTGTAGGCAATGTCTTCATCTGCAGAGATCATGGACGGACCAGAAACGTAGGCACTGGTGACATCTATCCTTTGACTAAATGTCCTGTGGAAGTTTATAGGAAGGAGACATGCCCAGATTTTCGATTTGTACAGACCCGAGTGGGATATTGGGCAGGACAAAGAGCAGACCATTCCCTTTCCCTGGGAGATATCCTTCTCAGTTCCCATATACTAACCTCCCAGGACAAGGACCTCTTAGCAGGGACCCCTGAGGAGCCTAAGTTTTCTTTCTAGAGGAAAGCTTTTCTCCCTCTTTTGTCAGACTTCAATGTCGATCCTCAATTATGTTACAGGGGTTTCAAGACCTCCCTTGCGACTCGTGATGGGGTGTCTGTCCCTACACTGGGAGGGCAGTGCCCAGGAGCAGGGTCTACTCAAGGTCACCCAAGCCATGTCCCTGCTCTGCAGCCCCCATCTGTCTTGCCAGCTTTCGGCAGGTGACCTGAGCCTTTCACCTTGCACTTAGGAGCCCAGCACCTGCATGCATATGGGGACTTGGGGTTAAATTTTGGAAGGCCGGGACTTTCTCCTATGGCTTGGTCATAGCTTTATACCTGGACCTGAGCTTCCCCCCTTGCCTTATTAGGAACTTACTCTTCCTTGCCAGGGGCATCTGTAGGTGATGCCCTCCTTTTTCTCTCTCCACAGGCATCCGGACCTGAGGCTGCTGCCTGGGTCCCCTTCCCCACGGTCGATGTCCCAGACCATGCTCACTATACCCTGGGTACGGTGATCCTGCTGGTGGGGCTCACAGGGATGCTGGGCAATCTCACAGTCATCTATACCTTCTGCAGGTGCCTGGTTGGTGGGGCTGGGTCAAGGGCACTATGTGTATCTAGCCATGCAGACAGGGCAGGATACAAGGGCGAAGGGTCACCCGGCTCTGTCCAAGGCACCTTAGGATGGGCAGAGAAGCAAGGACCACACCTTCTATCATAGCAGGTCTAGGCATCAACTTTTAAGCTGATGAAAATGGGAAAAAATAGCAGGGAACCTTGAATAACACACACATGCCCACTGGGCTTCAGGCATACCGTGAGGTAGGAAGGTACTCCAGGACCTTCAGGTCCCTGCTCATTCTACCCCGCTCTAAGTTCACCTCTGTCATCCTCTGCTCCCAGAGGAATCCTCCCTCGGCCTTGAAAAGCATCCCTGGACACCAGGATCCTCTAACTCGCAGCAGCCAGTCCTCCCAGTCACCCTTGCACCCCTCCCCTCTGTCCTGCTGGTTAAAACTGGCAGGCTAGAAAGTTAACACAGACTTCAGACTCCATCACAGACCCGTGGAAGGACTCAGCCAGCCATTTATTCTCCCTGAGCCCACATGTCTTCTCTGCAACACAGAACTGAGGCTTGCCCATCACTGTGATTCCTCCTGTTTGTGCATTGATTGGAAAATGAATCCTGGCTTTGCAGTTTCCTGAGTTGTGGAGGGAACCAAATCCTTTTGTGAGTGAAGGTCTCAGTACTCTCCTCTGGAAAAGAGGACCATCATGTCTCCCTTAGGAGCAAATTTGAAAATGAATTGTGCTAGAGGAGGGTTGTGGAGGTATCTGTCCCTTGGGCAGAATCACAGGTCTTGGGCTCTTTGCCACCTCAAGAGTGAACAATAAAGGAACAGGCTGAGTGGGGTAGGCCCAAACTGGGCAGCAGAAGGAGGAAGAGGAGAAAGAAGGAGGAAGGGAAGAAGAGAAGGAGGAGGCCCAAAAGGATAGTAAGAAGGTGTCAGAGCAAGGGGTAGGGGTAGCCGAGGACACTGTTGGGAGACTGGGGCCAGAGGATTGTCCAAGGAGACAGAGGGAATCACACAGAGGGAATAATCTTGGGGGTGAGAAGAAAGGGGTGTGACCGAGAGCCAGCCTCCTGGGCTGCATCGTTGTTTCTGGAGACCCTGTTCCTCACTTCACTCTGAGGGACCGACCACGGGAGGTCCCTTAGTCCATATTAGTCCAGGTGACACCTGCTGGACTGAGAGACACGCCTGTGGCCCAAGAGCCCCAGCCAGGGTCTTTTAATGTGTGTGGGGTTGTATTGTGTGCACAACATGTTTGTGTGCCCACGGACATTTAGCGTATCAGCATGAGTGTGCATGTGCATGCATGAGTATCTGAGGGACAGGGCAGGCCCCCATAGCTCTGGAGGGAGTGGGAAGCATGCCCTGCCTTCCTCTGACCTCACAGGAGCAGAGGCCTGCGGACACCGGCAAACATGTTCATTATCAACCTCGCCATCAGCGACTTCTTCATGTCGTTCACGCAGGCCCCGGTCTTCTTTGCCAGCAGCCTCTATAAGAAGTGGCTCTTTGGGGAGACAGGTAGACATTCGAGTTTTTGTTTTGTTTTGCTTTTGCAATAGGGAGAAAGGGGTCTTAACAGACAGATGCCACGGCGGTGGAAGGTGGTACAGATGAGGTGGTTTGCTCTTGCTGGGCACAGCGGGCAGCACCCTGAATTCTGTGACTGAGTGAAGAGGAAGATGGGATTCTGGTCTTGATATCCCCGCCAGCCTGGCCAGATGTAGCAAACCAGCAGGGTGGAAATGGCTCAGTCCTGTATTCTGGGAGGCAGGGAGGGAACTGAGTTTGTTCCATCCTTTGGGAATTTCTTCCCAGGGCCTTAGGGAAGTGGGTCTACCCACAGGTTGCGAGTTCTATGCCTTCTGTGGAGCTGTCTTTGGCATCACTTCCATGATCACCCTGACAGCCATAGCCCTGGACCGCTATCTGGTGATCACACGTCCACTGGCCACCATCGGGATGGGATCCAAAAGACGGACGGCCCTTGTCTTGCTAGGTGTCTGGCTCTATGCTCTGGTTTGGAGCCTGCCACCCTTCTTCGGCTGGAGTAAGTGGGCTGGTGCTATTGGGGGGAGGGGCAGGTAGGCTGAGAGAGGAAGTTTAAAGAAAGTTTGGGTTGGCCAGCTGGCAGAGGGTGTCATGGATCACCTAATTCTCCAGTCAGGTGGGAATTCAGGGGCACCTGTCAGCATTGGAGGAAGCTCAGAGTGCTTTACCAAGGACTATGGGATCAGTCAGGGAGGCTATCACCAAATATGGGGTCTATTGGATGGAAGCCAGAGATGCATGTTTAGTGCTGGCTTTGTAGTGTGTCAGAACAGCCAGGGGCCTCAGCAGGCAGGACAAGCAGCAAGGCTTTGGCCCTGAGGATCATGACCCTGGACCTACAGAGGGGCTAGCTCCAGTCAAGGCTAAACTGGTGTCCCCGCTAGAATCAACGTGGGAGTCTCTCCTCACATCTCTCAACTGCCTCTGGCTTTCTCAGTTCTGGGCATGGTAGGCCTATGGCTGGGGCCAGGTCGTATTTAGGAATCCCAAGCTCCACATTTGAAGCCCCTACCGAACAAGGAGACTTGAGCAGCAGCACAGGAAAGGCTGAGCCCCTGCCCCGGCTCTCAGGTGCGTATGTGCCTGAGGGGCTGCTGACGTCCTGCTCCTGGGACTACATGACCTTCACGCCCCGGGTGCGTGCCTACACCATGCTGCTCTCCTGCTTCGTGTTCTTCCTCCCCCTGCTTGTCATCATTTGCTGCTACATCTCTATCTTCAGGGCCATCCGGGAAACAGGCCGGTGAGTGTGCTGTGCGGAGCTGGACCAGAGACGGTAGGGTCCCCCCAGCAGAACGCACTCAGATGCGGGTGGATTAAGACCAGTGAACTCCCGTGCTTGTGGGATGAGGGCACCTAGGAAAAGTCCCCAGAGACAAGGTCCCCTGAGGAGGGCTCAAAGACCGCAGTCCAGGCAGAACCACAGCAGGAGGGCCGCTGAGGCTCAGAGAAAGGACTTTCTGGAAGTCAGAGCTGCCTGTGTAGGAAAGGATGACCCCCTCCAATATGTCCCCAGTAGCTGTGACCCTGGTACTTGCTACAACCAAGATGCAACCTTCCTAGGGCCTGCGAGGGCTGCGGCGAGTCCCCTCGGCGGCGGCGGCAGTGGCGTCGACTGCAGAGTGAGCGGAAGATGGCCAAGGTGGCACTGATTGTCATCCTCCTCTTTGTACTCTCCTGGGCTCCCTACTCTACCGTGGCCCTGGTGGCCTTTGCTGGGTGAGCAGGAGCCATAGCACTGATCTAGGGCACAGATCCAGGTAGCCTCTCCCTCTAGCCTGAATCAAACCAGCCGTCCTGACACCCTAGGTCTAGCTTGACAGTCTTACCCTCCCCAAGCGACACACCTCTCCTCACAAGGCTTATCCAGTTCCTGGAAACTTTGGGGATATATTGAGGGAGCCCCGGCTAAACACAGATAGTCTGGGGACTTTCCATCTGCTTGGGAACACGCAGATATTTCTGAGGTTCAGGTTCCTTTTTAGCCGGAGCCATAGACACACAATCAGAGCTGCTGCTACTTAAGAACGGACCGCTAAAGAGGTTCTCTCTAGTACCTTCTGTGGCTTGAGTCCAGTAACCATGGCACCTTCAGCAGGACGGGCACAGGCTAGATTTTCAGAGTACTTTGTGAGGATGAGATTTTGGTAGTTTAAGCTATTTGGGTGCCAATCTTCTTGAGTAGAAATAATGCAGTCTTTTTTAGGGGTCTACCGGAAGTTTCTCTAGGACATCCAAAGGGGACAGTGTACAAGATGGGGGGAGGGTTTAGCAGCATTTTTGCATGAGAGGATCTGAAGACCAGGGACAATTGAGTGACATAGAGAGGTATTGTGAACTCCACAGACTCTAAGGGACAGTGGGACTTAGTCACTGAAGGTGTGACATGTCTTCCTCCCAGAACCTCACCTTCAACCATCTTTAGCTTCCTTCCTACCCTCCTTAAACCAGAATCCTCACCGGTACTGCCAGTCTATTGGTTTAGGCTGGATGGCATGGTTTAGTCTGGCCTGAGCAGAGTCAGCCACGGAGACAACTGTGGGTATGAATTAGGAGACCTCACACCTTCTCTGTCCTAGGTACTCGCACATCCTGACGCCCTACATGAGCTCAGTGCCAGCTGTCATTGCCAAGGCTTCTGCCATCCACAACCCCATTGTTTATGCCATCGCTCACCCCAAGTACAGGTGAGGCCTCCTCCAGCCTCCGGGTCCACCTAGGGGCGTGGAGGGCCTGAGCCTACGGAAGGTAGAGGTTATCTGTCTCTCTGATTTCTTATATGTGTACTAGTTGGGGGGTCACGAACATCTTGGTGCAGCTAGCGCTGCTGCAAAGGGTTTGAAGCGTGCTTCCCTCTTCTTCCCCATATATACAAGCTATCAATGGCTACCTGTGTGGAAGCCATTTCTAACTACAGAGCTAGGTCATAAGGCAGCCAGGGCAGACCCATTAGCAGTACTTCCTATGCAAAGGCGAGCTCCCAGGCTGTGACATCCTGCAAAGACCCCAGCAGGGCACGCTTGCTTCCACCAAGGCCCCTGGTAGCACGCTGAGGTAATGAGGTTCCAGCTCCAGTAAGAATGGCAGCAAAGCACCGATGTGGGCCCTCAGAGTTGTTTTCAGTCTGATGATGTCAAACCCTTGTTAATCTCCTGATGCAAATCTCAGTCCATCCACCCCATAGTACTTAGGTGTATCCATGGCGCCCATTCCCAGAGATGTGGCCTAGGGCGACCATGTTAGGACTTGAGGTGATGTCTGGTTGGTTGAACCCACTACCCAAGGCTCTCCTGTGCCCACAACCCCCTGGTTCTTTTGTTAATCCCGTCAACCCTGGACGTTCCTGAGTCTCTTTCACCTTGCTGTTTGTCTATCCCCATTACCAGCATCTGTCTGTCCATTACCTGTATCAGTGTGTCCTTTCCTTTTCCCTTTCATGACCCTTTGCTCTAACAAGCTATGTGACTCCTGCAGGGCAGCCATTGCCCAGCACCTGCCCTGCCTTGGCGTGTTTCTTGGAGTGTCAGGCCAGCGCAGCCACCCCTCCCTCAGCTACCGCTCTACCCATCGCTCCACACTGAGCAGCCAGTCCTCCGACCTCAGCTGGATCTCTGGACGGAAGCGGCAAGAGTCCCTGGGTTCTGAGAGTGAGGTGGTAAGGATGCTGGGCCTTCATCGGCTGGGACCTCACTTTTCCTTTCCCAACCAGGCTCAGAGACTTGGATCTAGTTGGTAGAACCACATATTAGACTGGGAGACATGCCACCTCTTCTAATCTCCAGTACATCACCCTCTGTGACAACCAGGAATACCCAGAGAGAAGATTGTGCGGTCAGAAATCACCCAGCAGTAGTCCAATCTAAACATGGGCTTTCTAAGTCACCTCTTTCCCCATGGCAAGAGCTGACCCAGGGTCCTTGTTCCTTAATACTAAACCACCACCATACAGGAGGTGTGAAGAGCTACAAGGTGCAGGAAAAGGGGAAGTACTAGCCTGGGATCAGACCTGGCTTCAGGCCTTGATCCACCCCATCCTCACTGTGTGATCTGAGAGCCAGCGTGTCTGGACTGCCCAGCTGTCTTCCACTGCTCTATCCTTGAGGCCTTCTGTTAAGCTGCAGAGCTTCCTGGGATCTCTAAGCCATTAGTAGAAAATGAGGAGTCGGTTTTATTTGCTAACAGAGGCCTTGACTCTCATGAAGGCCACCTATCTATATACCCACATGCTTAAGCACACAAATAGTGCCAACACCAGTGTGTACTTTCCTGGGCTTTGGTGACAACTTTGCAAGTGATGTCATGGGTCCCCCTCAATGAATGCTGGTGCTGGAGCAGGAGGAGGTGTGAGCATGCTCTAAATAAGTTGTCCCTCTCACTTCAAAGTTGCTCTCCCACCTCCCCAGGGCTGGCCAGACACGGAAGCAGCGGCCGTGTGGGGGGCTGGCCAGCACGCAAGTGGACGATTTTCCTGCAGTCAAGACCTGGAAGATGGGGAAGCCAGGGCTCCTTCCAGCTCCCAGGTACCTGCCAATCTGTGAAAGGGTAGGGAGCCAGGCCAGGTAGCCTATGAAGTGGCCAGAAAAGTAGGCTTGCAGTGTGACCAGGACTCTCAGAATCACCCCCTTCCCATTCATCCCACTTTGCCTTGTCCACTTGGAGGGCTCCGTGATTCCCAGACATCCCTAGCAGGGCATGAGTGTGGTCTGTTACTGGGGGAGCATCTGTGTGTGACTGCGTGACCGCGTGTGCATGATGTGCAGTTGGCTGTGTTGTGCCATGACAGGTGCAGAGTTATAATCATATGTGCTCATGAAGACATGCCGTCTGCGTCAGAGAACGACTCATGCATGTATGGCCCATGTTCCTGGCATATACTGCCTGTCACTGTGATGCCTCTGTGTCATATGGGCAATGGGGTGTAGGTGGCGTCCACCTTTCTGGGTGATTCTGATGCTGGACGTACCTGGGGGAGGGGCTGCAAGCTGTGTCACTGCCCACTGCCAATGCCCCGAGCTCACGATGTCACCCAGAATACTTGCAGCTATAAAAAGAAGGCCAGCTGTCAGCCCCAGTGCCTATGGAATGGAATGTTGATGGTGTTAGAGAAGGCCATATTTTGGAACACTGGAAATGCCATGAGCACAGGCGCCCAGTCAGGCCCTCCCCCTCAGCTGGCAGCTCCCCTACCCTCACTTCTTACACATAGCCCCGATCAGCGGCTAGGTATTCTGGGTTTCCTTAGCCACTCTGGGATCGCAGGCTTCTCTGGTCTTCTGTCCTTATGCTGTTTCCCTATGAATAGCCTGTCACTGCCTCCGCAATAGGGAAGTTCCTGCCCACTACGTAGTATCCCAGGCACTATGCACAACCACAGAGGCCAGAGTCAAAGCCTGGTAGTGGCCTGTGAAGATCAGGAAATGGCTGAAGACTCTATCTGTCCTGGATAGAGGCAGGACCATGGGGAGGGGCTTTTAGCACCCAGGGTCAGCCATCAGCAGTTGCCAAACACAAGTGATAAACACTGACATCAAGTTGCAAGCACACAGAGGTAACTCTCTGGGGTTCCCTAGGGGAAGGGGCTGAGCTGTCTGCGTGAACATCCTAAGTGAGTACAGTGGAGTGCAGGAGAAGGAACTTGGTGTCCTGCAACAGGGTGTGTGTGTGTGTGTGTGTGTGTGTGTGTGTGTGTGTGAGAGAGAGAGAGAGAGAGAGAGAGAGAGAGATATGACTTTGGGAGTGTTCAGAGAGACCCTAGGGATAACACTGAGGATGTAGAAAGGAAGAGAGGCAGGTGGTAGGAGTGGTTAACTGTGTAGGGATCTCCAGACTCTGGGGAACAAGGATCCAGAAAGGGGTTTAATCACCTTTGCAGTGTGGCCCAGGTTCATCTGATGTGCCCCCAGGGAGGTTTTGGTGGGCACAGTAAGCCTGTGAGGTGTACTTCCTGAGGAAGCTGGTGCTACAAGGCAGGAAGAGGATAAGTGAATTAGGGCAGCAAGGATAAAGGGGGGGTGCCAGGCTTCACACACATGTGGGATTACAGAAGAAAGATGAACCGGAGAGGGGGCATAAGAGTCTGAACCTCAGGCATCTATGAGGATATCCCAGGGGTTATCCTGCAAACATCCTAAGATTTTGCTGACTCCTTCTTTTAGGTGTAGTCCTTGAGAAGGTTCACTCCTGACCTTGACCACAGCCTGGCCCTTCTACACAGTTGCCTTTACCTGTTGGTGTTCTCAGATGTGAAGAGGGATTGGAAGACTGCCACTGTGAGACACTCCTAGAGACAAATAGATGTGTATTGTTTATTTTCAGACCAAGAGACATCTCCCCAGCCTGGACCTCAGGATGTAGGATGCCCACTGGCCCCCCCTTCCTTCTGCTACGTGCCCAGGCCCATCACCTCCCCACCACATGCAGAGATCCTGGATTATCCCCCAAGCCGGGAAGCTTTGGAGGTGTCACTGTCTCCGTACTACACTGGACTCAACTCCGGCCCCTTCCCACACCATAAAATTCCTGCCTCAAAGCGTGGTCCTGCCTCCTCAGTGCAGCTGGCACACCTGGGCTCTGCCCGAAGCGTGGACCCAGGCTCTCTCTCCTGCTTCACTTCCGGCAGCCTCCGCCTCTCCTTAGACACTGTATGCTGTGATTGTCCAGGCGATGACAGTAGTGATGGCACTGGGGAACACGACGTTTATTTATGACCGGAGCGTCTTGGCTAGCCTTTGTGACCAGGCCGGACATCTCACTGGTTCAGAAACTTCAGCCCGGCGTCCCCTGCTGCCAGTAGTCAAAAGTTGAACATATACTTTCTTGGCACACCTGAAACACTTCAACCCTAGTTCTCCCATAACATGTCACACTGGGGTCCACACTCACATGTACAGGGGCACTGGCAGGCACATCGGTACCTATCTGTATGTACACTAAGTACAGGTATGCACAGCCTGCCCTTCCTGATCGTTTTGTGTCGGTGATCTAAGTTCCTTCCAGACGTGGATCTGCAGAGCACAGGAAAATAAAAAGCAGGGTTTCTTGTGGTAAACATGTCTATTGGTGCTTCCGTGGAAAAGAAAAGAGGCCTGGTCTCCTTGCCTCCAGCAACTTCCTTTTCTGTTCCCTAATGACTCTCACTTCTGAAAATCCATTTCAAACTGGAGGGGAGCAAATTAGAGGAGGAACAAAGACCAGCTTAGCCCATTCCCTCCTCCCCAGGGAGGTGTGGAGCGCTGCCCAGCCCATGAGGATCAGCTGCTCTCCAACTGGCTTTGGGTCTCCCAGGGGAGGTAGAGGGAGGCTGGCCTTTCCCTTCAAAAACATCTTCCCAGCCCACTCCCTTACCCAGAAGCAAATGATCAGGCAGTGCCAGAGTCCAGAGAAAGAGCCTTCAGCTTCGGGTACAGCCTTACTGGGCCTCCAGGTCCAGGGTCAGCCTCTCTGGGGCTCCAGGTCCAGAGTCAGCCTCACTGAGGCTCCAGTCAAGGGTAAGCCTTGTTGGGGCTCCAAGTCCAAAGTCAATCTTTCTTGGGGCTCCAGGGTCAGCCTCAATGGGGCTCCAGGTCCAGGGTCAGCCCTTTCTTTCAGGTTATGTGTGGCTAGATATTCCCCAGCTGGGAAGGAAAGATAGGTCTGGGGGACAAGGATAGAGCTAGGGATAGATGGGTTATATAGAGAATGGGATGGGATGGGATGGAATGGGAAGAGATGGGATGGGAAGGGAAGGGATGGGATGAGATGGGGTGGGATGGAATGGGATGAAATGGGATGGGATGGGATCAGAAGAGATGGGATGGGAAGAGATGGAATGGGAAGGGATGGGATGGAATGGGAATTGAATGGGATGGGATGGGATGGGATGGGAATGGGATGGGATCAGAAGAGATGGGATGGGATGGGATGGGGTGGGATGGGGTGGGATGGGATGGGATGGGATGGGGTGGGATGGGGTGGGATGGGAAGGGAATGGGATAGAATGGGATGGAATGGGATGGGATCAGAAGAGATGGGATGGGATAGAATGGGAATGGGATGGGATGAAATGGGATGGGATGGGAGAGAGACAGAGTTCTAACCTCCTAGCCCATGAAGATGGGGTTGCATATAACAAAAGGAGGTGGTGAGACCAAGGGAAAGAGTACAAGTCCCTCCCTAACTTCTCTCACTTGCTATTTTTATGACCTTGAACCAGTCACCAAGCGACCCTGTAACATTAGCACTCTTATGCATCCACGTACGCCAGGCTGGGTGAGGGGGAGCCTGGAGATGTAGCGACTAGGAAATTGCTCACATCCAGGCCTGCATCGAGTCCTCCAGACTAGTGTGTTTGAGAGGGCCAGAAAGAGACCAAACCAAAACCTATCTTCCTCAGTTTCCCGAGCTGGGAGCCAGAGTGAACCTCTGTATCCAGACTCCATGAGATCTGAAGTCTTTCTTGGCAAAAGGCAGGCTTCTGGGGCATCTTAACGCAAATGTCACGCTGACCGAAGCCCCAAGGGGCCAAGGCCCCCACCCAGGGCACACTGTCTCTGGGGTGTAGGCTAAGCGTGCCACACATGCTTCCTGCCGCTTCTGACTCTGCGTCCTAGCAGCTGAACAAATGGCACTTCTCCCCAACCCCCTGCCATTCCTGCACAGAGGGCACGGAGCCTGGCGTGCAGCGCTGGCAGCTGTAGCTTTCCATGCTACTGTCAAGTTTTCCAGGGCACAAATGAGATGGGCGAGCCAGGAATAACTGCCTGGGCCCCAGAGGGTCTAGAGGGCTGGACAACCCCAGACCTAGCTTCAGACCTTTTTCCGCTACTCCAGGCCAGGGCTTTGGATGATGTCTATAGCCACTAAGAGCCCATTATCAGACATGAGTACCATTAGCAGGAGCCCAGGCGCCAATGGGACCTGTGTCCATTCCCTGTGTGACCTTGGAGGATGTGTTTAACTTCTCTGAACCTCAGCTCTGACAAACCAAAGTAGCAGCTTCTTAGGACCCCAAGGAAATGGTTGTGAAGAGCCCTTTTCTGAACTTGACTGTGTTCAAAGTATTGCCATGACATGGTCATTTTTATGTCTGGCCCTGTAACATCAAAGTGAGCTTGGAGCCAATCAGCAGTCTTCTGAACTGAAGGTTTTGCAGACCTGTGGAGGATAAGCCAAGTCCAAGGCCCCACAGGGCCCCACAATGGATAAGGTGCCAACTCATGGTCCTTACCAGGAGCAACAGACTAGCAAAACTCCTACCCAGAGGAGGATCCAGATTGGACCCACTGACTAAAACAAGGGTGTGTGGGCTCCGCAGAGGGCACAGAGGGGACCAGTCCTCCCTGCCTGCCCCTTGGGGATGGGTGTTCTGGGTGCCTGACTCCCCTCCCCAGGGACTATATTAGCCATGTGAGTCATGGTGGACTGGCTCGGAGTCCACAGGCAGGCGGGCCCAGTGTAGGGTTACAGTCCATTTATGGGCGCAGCAAGGGCAGATATCAGTGTCGATGGCATTCACTCCCAGCTATTCTTAGGAGCCTCCCAGGAGCTCTGCACAGCCTGGCCAGGCAGCAAGGGACACAGCAGGCAAGGCCAAGGGTCGGGGTCCTGGGACCAGGAACAGAGATAGGAGCAAAGAAATGGTCTGGAAAGGCGGGGTACATGTGTGTCCCCTAACCTGACTCTGTACTATTTGTCTGCAGAGGAAGCCGCTGCCGTCAACACCAGAATGTCTTACAGTGTGACTCTGACTGGGCCTGGACCCTGGGGCTTCCGTCTTCAGGGAGGCAAGGACTTCAACATGCCCCTCACTATCTCCCGGGTAAGTGTAATTGTCCACAGCCTTCTTCCCAAAGGGGCAGGGCATTCTTGGATGGGGGCTCCTTCATGTCCATCTGTCCATCAGCCAGTCAGTCTGTCTTTCCCCAAGGCTCTTGGAAAGCAGAGCCTGCCCTATTCCTGGTCTGAAGCCTAGGACTGGACTGGTATGATCTTGGCCATCGCTGAATTAGCTCACCCCAGCTTGTCCCTGGGCTTTGCCTGTCTACGTGAGACGTAATGGGCAAATAGTTGGCATTTTGAGCAGAGGAGAAATACTGAGTTTGCAAGGGGGGGTGGGCTTGTGAGCAGAGAATGCAGGGCCTTCTTAAGCCCTTCCCTAGCAGGGTAAGTTTGGGGTATTCCCAAGCTTGGAGTCCCTTCCTAAATGCAGGCAGTTGCTGAGGAGAGAGCATTCTTAGCATAGGGAAGGCAGGTAACAGGTAGGTAGATGGCCAGATTGCTTTCCCAGCTGTCCTGCTGTCATGATATAAGTCCAGGCTAGACTGGTTTCAGGTCTCCAGTGTCCCCAGACCCAAGACACCAGCCTTTCCTCTCCCTGACATAGCGGGCCTGGCAGAAACCTTACATCACCTGGCTCTTGGGCTGAACCTGTATTCCTCACTTGAGCCCAGGGCTGCCTGTCTCACAGCTTTTCCTGACTGGGGCAATGGCCTCTGGGTCCTGTAGAATGTGGTGAGAAACAGCACTGCCCACAGAAATGACACCAAGCATCAGATGGTAGGAGGGCGGTTCCATTGTGCTGGAGAAACTGAGGCCCAGAAATAAAACGTAGACATATTTGAAAGGAAAAGTGGAAGGTCTTTAATTATTGCTGTAGTCCAAGCCCCTAGGCCATAGCTGTTGCTATCTGCTCAGTATTTGTTAACTAAGGTACCCTACAAGTTCTGGTAGATCTGGGACTGAAGGTCCCATGGCTTAAGGGCACTGAGAAGCATACAGGGAACAAGTATAGCCTGCTTGGTGGCTGAGCCCCTGGAAGGACTGATCTGGGCTTAAGGGGAAGGGTGAGACTCCAGGATGTCACTGTGAAGTTAGAGGGTGGAATTTGGCATGGTTGGATTGCCGTTTCTTCCACAGAGCAGCAGAGGCTTGCCTCGGACCTGGGGCTAGCCCTCCGAGGTAGCTGAGAAGCCTGGATAGTGCTTGACAGACGGGCAGGGCCCAGTATTCCCACTGAAGTAGTCTTGATCCTCAGATCACCTTCAAACTAGACATTTAGTGTGGCCTTTGGGGAAGGACAATGCCCCTCCCCTTCCAGCTGCAGATCTGAAGTCTCTGCCCTCCAGACCTACTGCCCTGAAAATCATGGGGCCCTTGTTATGAGGACACCCTAAACCATGTAGATTCTGCTTGACGATGTGGTGACGTAGGGATGAGAGTCCAGGGGCTACCCACCCCCCACTTCGGCTCTGCACAATGCCCACTCCCGCAGCTATGTGCTTACTCCCCGTATAAGATAGGGCCTCTCGCATCATCCTTGTGTGCCCTCTGGCCTCCTGTGCCTAGGATTGAGCCCACCATCCCAAGGCTCATTGCTG